TCACGTCATCAGATCTTTCTCCTTCCACATCATCAAAGTTTTGATCAGCTTTTTGCTCCAACATTTCCTTGTGTTTGACAAGCTCTTCAATTTGAGCTCTGTACTGCTTCTTGATTGATAGCAACATAGCTTTCATTGATGTTTTCACCATCTTCAGTGCTCTCTCAGCCTGCATTAGTCATTTTTGGTCTGTAAGTTAATATTTACAGTAGAATACCACATATTACCATGGTGGTATTGAATGGTATGTGCATTATACAGTATAATACCATATATTACCACCATGGTTCATGTGTGGTATTTTAGTTGTATGAATTGGACAATTTGTAACATATGGTAATTTATACTTACTTGGGGGACAGTCTTGATCATCTTCAAATCAAATATTAGTGATGCTGATGGTTGTTGGTCTGTGTTGTTGTCATCATCATCACTGTCAATGTCGACAATCTTCTCTTCTTTGTCCTGTATCTTCATCAGCTTATGGAGTTCTTCTCCACCATAGTAGCTCACTATGTTTTCAAAGTTCCTTTGCACAGCAGTGTCATCATAGTAGCTTGCTGTTGGGATTTGGAACTGGGTGGAGAAGGCCATTTCATCCAACTTGTACATGAAGCATACCTTTTATTTGTTTGTGGCAAGGAGAAACAGTTGTATTAGTATTTGATGTACTAGGATTTGTAAAGCTTTTAGGGTATAGTAATTGAAAATGGAATTATTGTGGGTATAGATACTTACTGTTAAGAAATGAAGATCTGCATTGATGTACACGGTGTTTGCAGTCAACCCGTGATTCATGTAGTCGAAGAAGAACTTGCACCAGTTGTATTCTTTGAAATGGTTGATTGTGTCGGCTGCAAGTACTCCAGCACATTCAACTCAGCAGTAGGGTTTGAATATGGGCACAGTAGAGCTCCCGTAACCAGAATCCAGAACAGCTTGATCCATCTTGCAATGGTATGAGCATTAGAAATGTCATGCTCTACATTAGCTAATTTCACCCTTCCATTTGTAGCTGGAGCTTCTAGTTCTAGTAGGACCTGCGTCGCATAGTCTACTGCTTCTTCCACTGATAATTTCTTGAGCGTCACTTCCTTTTTACCCATTGGTAGACCATAAACTCTATGAAAGTCAATTGGTGATATCTTCATGTAGGTTCCACCAGGCAGCTTGAATGCTTTCTTTATCGGATTGTACTTGCTCATTGTGAATAGAGCAAAGTTCGTGTTTATCTTTGTTTGCTGGATGGATGTTAAGCCATCAAGGCCTAATTCCTGCAATTTTTCCCTCTGTTCAGCTGTTAATGTTCTTGAAAGTGCATTGATTCTTGTCGGGCTGCACCTTGTTCGAAATTTGTCCCTATGTCTCGACATGATGTACCTGCATCCAGAATAGAAGAATTGCTATAACATACCATAGCATACCATAGCATACCATATTCTACCAGTAAGCAAAAACACCAACTACCATACCATAGCATACCATACTATACCATATTCTATCAGTAAGCAAATGAATAATTGAGGTAGTGGCTTTGACCAGTACTTGTGTGGTTTCTCCTTAGAATACCATATTGTACCAGTGTGGTATTGTAAGAAAATCTGAGCATAGAATAGGTTTTTATACTTTTCCTATAAAATCTTTTTCATTTTTACTTTGACCACTACTGGAACGGTTTCTCCTTATAATACCATATGGTACCAGTGTTTATACCATGTTATACCATATGGTATACTATGGTATTGTAAAAAAATCAGAGTATGGAATAGGTTTTGTTGTCGTTTTATACACTTTTCTATAAAATGTATTTCACTGTAAGTACTTTTACCACTATTGGAACGGTTTCTCCTTATAATAGCATATGGTACCAGTGTTTATACCATGTTATACCATATGGTATACTATGGTATTGTAAAGAAATCAGAGTATGGAATAGGTTTTGTTGTCGTTTATACATGTTTCTATAAAATGTAGTTCACTGTAAGTACTTTTACCACTGCTAGAACTTTTTCCCCTTAGAATACCACATGGTACCAGTGTGGTATTGTGAAAACATCAAGCATAGTAGAGTTTTTCGTTTGGTTTTTGTGATGTATGTACTTGAAATTAGACATTCAGAATCACGAATCTAGTTTTTGAAGAAAGAAGTGATGATTTACCTTGATCGTGTCTAAGTTGGAAACCCTAATTTTGTCGCTGAAGACGTTGAAGTGGAAACCCTCACTTGATCACTGAAGGCGTCGAAGTGGAAACCCTCACTTGATCACTGAAGGCGTCGAAGTGGAAACCCTCACTTGATCTCTGAATAACTGAGATCGGAATCCTTTGCTAAGCGAACTGAAAACTCGAGATTCGACTTCGACGGTGCAGTTTGCGAAGATGAAACGCGAGAGAGAGAGAGAGAGAGAGTGAGAGAATGGATAGCGTGAATGCAGAGCAAAAAAGCAGAAACTCGAACCGTCTGCGATTTCTCTGGTGATAATGATGGCGGGGAAGTGTCAGTTACCTTTTTCAAATTGTCAGAAGGTCGATTACTATTTTACCCCTACGTGTATTTATTATTTTACATCTGACGGTTGTTAATGGATTGCAATGGACGGCGGATGGGGTGGTTACTCACCGTTACTGACCGGTAAGTTACTTACAGGAACTGCTCTTCATGTCGTTAAGCTTTCTAATCACTTGGAAATTCAGGGTTCCTTTTTCTGTTTTTTGTTGCTTCTCTTACTTGGCTTCACTGGTCCTGTTTCATTGCTGCATTAGATTTCTTTCACACTTTCCCAAATAAAACAAGACAATATTGACTGCTCCACTTTTCATCTTGAGACAAAAGGATAGATGCATACATAGCAAGTTGATCCACAAATGCATAGGCTTTTTCAAAAAAGCAGTACCACTTTGAGTTTCTAGGGGATAATGTTCAATGACATCGATTTGTTGTTCTTCTATGAGTTATAACTTGCATAAAGTGGTTGCACTGTTTCCATTAGCAATAAACTGAATACTCGAGAAGGAGAAAGCTAGGGATGATCCACAACTGCAATGCTTGAGAAGGGTAGTTAGCAAAGCAAGATTCACAGGTAAAACTTTATTTCTGGCTTTGTAGACTACTCGATTAGATTGATTTGTTATTGTGAATAGCTATTTACCGCCCGATAAATTACTATTTGCCGCCCGTAGTTACAAAAAAATTGACCACTTTGCCCCTTGTTTTATTTTAAAATTAAAACCCTTCCCTTCTAATGAATCATCGTCTACTTCATCATTCTCTATCGTCGGCGCGGCATTCACCAACATCATCGGCTTCTTCGTCTAACCAAAGCCCTGCACAAACCGAGAACAAAAACAGGAAGGGGAGGGAGAAGGTAGAAGCTCCAGATCCGACGTCGTAGTTCGCACCAGAAGCCACGCTCCGACGCCAGAGTTCGGAGAGAGATGCCAGCTTTGACGCCGTTGTTCGGACGGAGACGGTAGGAACGACGTCGGAGGTCAGATGGAGATAAAGCCCCCGACGCCGGAGTTCGGTCGATAATGACTTCCTCCCAAAATTAACTAACGTATAATTGTATTTCTCTAATTAATCAATATCCAATTGTATCTGCCTTATTATGAGCCGAACAAAACTTTCTCCTTAATAATCAACGTCTAATGATTATTTTCATAATTAACAACTAAAAGTAATTAAGTATACATTTGAATACTTACTAAAATGGGGCCTAATTTCCGCAATCTTTAAGGGGTAATTAATCCTCTAATTAATTCTCAAAGGAATCTGTATCAATTTCCTTCTCTAAATTAAATTATGTCAGATAAATCCTCCATTAATTTCGCAATGTTGGTCCTGAATTTACGTTGATGAGTAGAGAATTGGGATTTAATCTCTCTGTGCCTTAATTCTTATTGGTTCCAACTTCTAACCATCTTTTCCATCGTCGGAAGAAGCGGCACGAGTCAAACAGGGAGCACAGTGATCCGCCCACCGACGTCGGACGGGGACCGCCCATCGGCATCGGACGGTGGTCCGCCCATCGGGGTCGGACGGGGTCCGCGCATCGGACGTGGTCCGCCCGCCGGCGTCGGACCGGTGCCTGGCATTGACGACGAGAAACCTGGTCAGATTCTTTTCTCTACGGCAAATCTCGACGGCGATTCGTCTTCCTCTTTTTTCTTCTGCCAGTCCCGGCAAAATCTTGGCGTCGTTTTCTTCTTCGCCTTCGCTTTGGCGATTTCGGGTCCGCCGCCGGATTTCGGACGGGGTCCGCCGCCAGATTTCGGACGGGTCGCTGCCTGCGTCGGACCTGTCGCCGGTGACATTTTCTTTCCACCAAAACTCGATTGGTTCATAATTAATATTAAATATTTATTTATGTAATTATTAAATACCAAAATTTCTCTAATTAACCCACATATATATTCATTTCTATAATTAACATCCACCGATATTTATGGAAATAATTATATAAGAAAAGACATGGAAATAATCCTAATTAAAAATCATCCCTAATTGACAACCATAAAAATTTCTTTTAATTAACTTGTCTTTCCTTAATTTCATAACCCACGTTTAATTTCATTTACTTAATTGACATACAAAAAAAATTCTGTAACCACTACAAAAAAGGGGGCCTATACCAAGGGTTTTTTTGGCCTATACCAAGGGTTTTAACCCCTGCTATAAACTGTAGCAAGGGTTTTTCCAACCCCTGCACCAACCTTCGCCAATGCTGCCCCTGCTATGGATAGCAAGGGTTTTTAACAACCCACGGTGAAAGTATCATCCAAGGGTTGTAGCAAAGGTTAAAACCCCTGCTACATGACTGTTTAAAATCCATCAGGTATTTGTTTGTACTAAGGGTTCAAACCCTTGCTACTTAACAAAATAGTTGCAATAGGACTTTACTTATTACAGGGGTTAAAACCCTTGCTTTATTCGTGGTTAATATAAAATAAATTTGCAACGGAATCAAAACCGTCACTAAAAGGGCTTCAAAACGGTCGCTAAAGAGGCCAATTCAAAGACTAGCGATTATAATCTGGTTGCAAATACTCTGGTCATTATAAACAAAATCAGAACCTTATATTCAATAGTAACCAAACTCATACCATACATCAATACATAATCTGTATCATGATTCATGATCCATACTATTGTTCACATGGCTAAACATGAATTGCCATAAACTTAACACCAAAAAACTCAACCTAATAGAATATTTTCTCACAAGAGCCTGGTGATCCTATCAATTCCTTACCAGTCCGAGATCACAAAACCCTGAAAAACAAACAAACAATCATCAGTTTAGCAGCTTGGAAAAACACAAAACTCTTTTTGAGCTGATAATGAAGAAGCAAAGGGTTACCCTGAAGTTGAGGGTGCCCTTGAGGTAGCTTGTGATCATGTTCTGGTTGGTTCGACAGTGGCCTATTTAATCTAAACAAACAGAGAATTTGATTTAGCATACAAATGCATTGAGTTTTGCATCAATGGACAATTGGTTGAACTATAGTCAACTAAATTATGAGCATATCACTGAACCAATCTCCTGATGAGCCTTTTATATTGAAAACCTATTATATGTATCACATTTCTGTAATATGCCTTTCCAAAAGAAACTACTGAAACCCCACCATACAAATAAATCATCCCCCTTGCACAGATTCAGATGTCAATGGAAATGATAAAACATATAAAAACAACCAATATAAACATACAAACAGAACGAAGGGAAGAAGTTTGATAGAAGGTAGAAAAAGGGAATGAGTACTTCTTCGTTACCTTTCTACCAAGCTCTGCAGACGTGTACGAACAGGCCTTGAAAAAGTGTGATCAGCGAGGTTTCAATCAACATGACGTTGTTCCCTCTGGCGGTAATGGCTATCACATGTTCTACTGTTGAATCCTAAGACAGTAGAGGAATCAGTTCCCGAGAAGCAAAGAGTGCTTAAAATAGATAAATATAGCTCAACTGAGTCAGTTCACAGGTTCAACAGTTTACCTGAGCAGTTGCAGAATACAAATAACTAATGAGAACCATTTGATTCATGCTTTGCTTTTCTATTCTTTCCTCCCTTGTTCTTACTTATCTCCTCATGATTTATGAGGTAGATAATGAAATCTCCCAGTAAGAAACCAATTCTTCAATGGCTAGTTCAACCGACAAACACCAACAAATTGAACTAGCAAAACCTGTCATCAAGGGAAAATATATTTCTCGAGCATGAATTCCTAAACTTTCCCAAACAGATCCATAATGAAATTAAAACTAGCAAGTTAATAATATCAGCTAAATTGCTTACGTTCAGGAAGAATAATTTAGCAGAATGTTGCTTGCCCAGAAAATCCAACAGGGTAAACAAAATGGAAACCCACACAGGACGAAAGCAAATATAAAAGCATAGAAGAATATTCATCAAGGAAGGATCAATACCCTGATAGGAGGTTAGGAATCCGAACTTTCATACGTTTACGAATCTACTATGCCAGAGCATCCCCCAAAGCTACTCTACCCAGCTTACTTTATGGTGCTCCAGTCAGTATGGACTTCAGACTCTCACTCTCTGCATTCCATGCAGTCTCCAATGAGTTCTGGGACCCAGATTGCAAAAGAATCAAAAGAAGCAGATTGACCTATTAAGGCAACCCATTGAATATCAGCAGTTTTAGGCAGCCCCTGATTTACCAAAAGAGTCTGAACAACTGCAAGGGCTTTCTGGTCAGAAGCAACTTGATCGATTTTACCAATCACACCAATGGTTCTGGTACCTGTCAACAAAAACATGTAAAACAGAAATGTTTAAACCGCGGAAGCACTCAACAATGACTAATTGCAATCTCAAACTCAAACACTATAACAAAATAAAAATAACAAGAGCATGCCATTACTTTCTCCATCGCATTCCTTAGCACCCTTGAGAGCTCGAGACGAAGAATCAGCAAAGATGCAAGCTTCTCTCACAATCATAACTTCCACGGAAGGAAAAAGGTTCCCACTTAAGCATACATGCATGAAAAACAAGGTAACTGACTTCTACCAATGTTGTCAAAGCAAGGGAAAATGAATCAACAGAGATACAAGGACCCCAGGGAAAGTAGCATGGGACTTCAAAAAGCAAAGTTGAACAACTACAATCTTAATAGTGCTTAGAAAGAGGTTCCCACTTAAGCTAACGTGAATAAAAGACAAGCTAATTGACATCTATGAAAGACAAGCTAATTCTTGTACTCGGTCCATTAGGACTTGGTCGTAATTAAAGAAAGCAAAATACCAATATCAGTTAACCGGCCAAAACAGTGTATCTGACTGATGTCAGTGTGATGAGTGCTTCCAAAACACAAATATTGGGGGAGAATCAAATAAGTTTTATCAATTATCGCAGACCATAATGAACAGCAACAAAACGTACTATTTCCATCATCTAGTTGGCTGGTATCTACGATTACAGGAGCTCAGACCACATCTAACCACACTACAAGTTGAGTCAATTAAGAGCTTCACTTGGATTTCACTTTGCAGCTTGGCAACTACAATTCCTTTGAAGGGGTGTTATACTGCCGGCCACACTTCAATCAACCGTTCAAAAAAATTGGAAGTCTAGAGAAAAGTTTTGATGGTGAGTAACCCAAAAAATTACCACTGGGTTTTCCCCATTTCCCCTTCTGATTTTCAGTGAGTTTCCATTGCAAATTTAAACGATGATTGAGAAAATGTATTTCTGGTAAAGCTAGGATGAGGGTGTAACTACCATGGATACCCTGCAAATCGATGAACCTGAAATCCTAGAACCAAATTGTCTGAAGCCTAAATTATCATCCACAACTCAATAAGCAAGTATAACTATCCACATACAACTTGTAAGTTATCTCTTCATACCTCTTCTTCCTCAACGAATTCATCTTCTATTTCTGTCATCAGCTGCCTCAACTTTGAAACCACTGCCAGCCTACTCCAGTCCCCATCTTTAGCGGTGTGGATTAAGGCGCCCATTAGCTCAGGTACATCTCAAAGTAGCTTCCCTGTGAAAACCATTTCACTTAAAAGAATGATTGGTTTGATCGAGAAAATGTAGAATATTTTAACAATGATTCAAGAACAAAGAGTGAATCATTTACCAATATAGTTATATTGCCTTCGGTTCCTTCGTAAACTTCTGGTCCTAGTTTCTGCGACAATTAAACAAACACCATCGCTTCAATAGCTTACAGAAAATCAACCTCTTGCCCAAAGATAATCAGCTGAAGAATTGTATACCTTAACTAGCGTCAAAGCTTTGAATACCTCTTTGCATGGAGCCAGCAAACGAAGAACTCCCTTACGCCCAGCTAGCTCCTCGGAATGACCTAGCTCTGTTCCGATCTCATCCAATCAATTCAAACACAACTTCACAATCACACCATGCAAACACAAAGCACCAGACCATCGTTTGATCTACCATACACAAAAGCACAATTGCAAGCGAAAGAAATGCAAAGCACAAAAAGCCAAAAAAAAAAACCCCGAGTAGTAGGAGAGCGAGCTCAATTTCACTCGTACTTGGGAGAGCGAACTCAAAAAGAAACACCAAAAGCACATTTACTTCTTCATTCCGAAGAGAGGGATAACCTTATCATAAAATCGGAGAATCGCCTACTGATTCCGCTGGAGTGTGAGAGAGAGATTCGCCGATGGATTCCGTCGGAGCAAGATAGAAGCCGGAGATAATTGCTAGAGCGAGAGATAGAGAGAGAGATCGAAGAATTGACGGAGAGAGAGAAGTTCGTTTTTGACTTTTTGGTATCGCAATGCGAGTGAGAATTGAAAATTGAATTAGTTTTTTCCTCTGGGCAGCAATTTATTTTGGACAAGGAAACCAAACGCCAAACACAGTAAGTTACTAGCGAGGGTTTAAAAGACCCCCGGAAGTAAGCGTTGCTATAGTTACCTCCGGAAAATCGAGCAGGGGTTATTAAGCCCCTTGCTAGCGAACCCTCGGCTTAGGAGTCTTTTTTAGTAGTGAACTAACATGTCCTATTCCATACCTACGTCTAATTCAATTCCCTGATTAACAATAGAAAAAATAATTCCCTTAATTAACACGACTAAGCCCATAATATGGAGATTTTGTATTATTATATTAATGACAACCCAAACAAATTCCTTAATGAAATCATACGTGGGTACTAGTTCAAATAATTATAAGTTAATAGAATGTAAACAAATAGCAAAGGGCAACAATGTAATTTTGATTTAAAACACGGGCGGCAATAGTAAGGAAGTGGGCCGGGACTCGTGTGGTGTGTATGTTGTTTAAAAAACCATTTCAGATAATAGAATATAAAGAAAAATTTGGAGGGCAAAATTGTCTTTTTAGTGTTTTTACGGGCGGTAAATAGTAATTACCGGGGCGGCAAATAGTAACCCTCTTGTTATTTCAATCAATTATAACTTTCATACAGTGGCCACACTCTTCCACTACCAATAAACTAAAGTACTCCGACAAGGATTAAGCTAGGGATATCCACAAGACCACAACTGTGCTGCTTCATAAGGAAAACCAAGGGATGATTCACAGGTATATCTTCACTTCCAACTTTGTGCATGAAATTGTGTAACTTAGTCTCTTAAATCTATTTTGAAGAGCATCGAAGATTACGAAGACAACATCAAGAATATGCCTACGCGTCTCGAACCTACAAAATCTAAAGAACACTTTCACTGCCACAACATGAAAAACTAACCAGTACCATAGACTCAAAACTAAACAATTCATCACCATAACTTATCACAAATGATGCATTGAGTTACTGGAAGCCCTATATATTTTGATTCTAATAGATTCAGGGTGACACCACACCATAATCACTTGGCATAGCTTGCTATGATGCCACCAGCTACCAAATATCTCCAACAAATGCAACCTTTATGATTACATGCATAAGCTTTATGTAGATTTTCATGTCAATGATTACAACTATATTTATGTTTAACACATTAGCTTACCAATAACTTGGATAAATTTAACTTTAATTGTTTACCCATAGGAGAAATATAGAGCATGCAAACACTTTGGTTCAACAACAAGATGGGGAAAAACAAAGCACATCTCAACAATAGTGACACATTAGACCCGGCCAAAGACCGGGCACCTAACTAGTATTGTACTATGGCTTTTTGCTTACAAAATATATCATATGCTCTTAGAAGTAGACCACATTCTTTTGCTATTTTTGCCTCCTTTCCAAAGACTGCAAATGTAGGGTGATCTAGGACATCCTATTGAGACTCCTTCAAATTAGTTTTAGCTTGCTCGACTCTTACAGAAATGCCAAAATAAAATTCTTTATTAAGATATTTCAAATTTTTCTTTAGAATTATGAGTTTCTGAAAAACTCCGTAAAAGGGATAAGTTGATATTTGGGCACTCCAACTTCTTGAAATATATGTTTGAATCTAGCATGATCACTTCGACATAAAAAAATACCATTGTTATCAAAATCGGACCAGACCGTCCGGTTCAACCAAAAAACCGGGACCGGCCAGACATCCGATTCCGGTAGGCTCATAACGCACAGAAAATTGATTGGCTGGGTCGTAACCGGTTTGCTCGGTTAACCGGCAAAACTGGAGGACCCGATCTGGCGGTATTTTTTTTACAGCTTTTAGTTTTAGATTTTATGTGCCAAATTTAAAATTAAAAAGGAAACAGAAGCTAGAAAAGGGAAGGAGAAGGGGGTCTTTAATTCTTTTCGTTTGACCACTTTCTCACTTTTATGTTCATTTCCTAATCTAGCAGACACTTCCCCAAATCGCCTCCTTCACTCTCCATTTACAAATACACCCTCTATTCCCTTTGTACTCTTTAGCTAGTTTTGAACCTTCTGCACTCTTACTTATTAGTAAATAGTAAGTATTATTATGGTTAACTTTTGATAATAATTGTTTTATTATATACGTATATGAGATATAGATTTTTTCAATTTCTAAATTAGAGCTAATTTTTAGATGTACCATAAAGTCATTATTGTTTTATTTGAAAATTTTGTATAACACCGATTTCATGATTGGTTTTATTCCTGTTAATTATCGGTTATCCGATAAATCTGAAATATCTCATTAATCCGGATTACTGTCTAGTTCGTTTTTGACAAAACTGAAAAATACCTGAAAGGTCTAGGTAGTGTTGTTCTAGTTAGAAAGGAATTAACTAGATTGCCGCATTGGTCTAAACCATAGCAGGTGTTATTGCACTTGCCATACTTGCATGATACTAAGAAATCCAGGATCCATTAATGAAGACTCTGTCTATCTTCCTAGCAATCGGATTATATTCTTTCTTATGTATCCATGTAAATCTTTCAGCCTATATTTTATGCTCGGATAACTGCATAGCATCAATCCATCCATTAAAATCCATTCCACTACTGTTGGTTAATGCCCCCATTGAAGCATTTATTACTGATAAAATTGTATTAAAGTCTCCTAGAACCATCCATGGTTGGTTTAGTGTTGATATAACTCTCATTTTATCATATAGACACCTTCTACCAGTCTCCTCATTTGCTCAATATACTACGGTAAATGAAATGCCCCCCTTCCCCTCACTTCTAGATGCACAAAACTCTGTTCAATAATCAGTGGGAGAACCACCATATTTTCTCTACGAGATATCCATTCGACCATTAGATGAACACATATAATTCTCTAGGAATCTCCATTGAGAGAAGTGATCCTTGCAATTTCTAACTACTTTCTTCCGTTGCACTCTAGTTTCTATTACTGCCATGATATCAATATTGTGTTTACTTAGAAACTTACTAAAAAGACTTTTTTTAGAGGATTGAATAAATTCTCTGATATTCAATGATGCAACTATCATTTCTTCCTAATTTGCATCCACATCCCGTCTTCTTACTCTTCCCTCCCATTGTCATCATTACAGTTGATTGACCACAAGGGCCGAATTGGATCTGATCTGGACCTTGTGGGCGCCCAATTCCTTAACCATGGTAATGCCGGCGATAACTGCTTCATACTCGGCGGCGTTGTTTGTTTTCAACTTCGCGAATCGCATCGCGACTTCGTGCATTGCTCCGCCCGGACTGATCATCACAATACCTGCTCCGGCGCCCGTACGACTGGCAGCCCCGTCTACCTGACTTGCCAACAGTCATTCGTGCCCTTCTCCGATTCTGCCACTCCCTCAGCAATGAAATCAGCCAAAACTTGCGCCTTTATCGCCGGTCGAGGCGCATACCTGATGTAAAACTCACTCAATTGAACTGCCCACTTGACGAGGCGCCCGACCACATCCATTGAACCCAAAGTAGATTTCAACGGTAGATTGGTGAGCACCACAATGGTATGCGCCTGAAAGTACGACCTAAGCTTGGTTGCCGCCATCACAACCGCCAACGCAGCCTTCTCAATCGGCGCATATCGCCTCTCATGAGCGACCATGGTGCGACTGACATAGTACACCGGCCTTTCCTCTCCAGAGTGGGCTTCCCTTGAGACAAGCACTGCGCTTACCGAAACTTCCGACACAGCGATATAAAGATACAACGTCTCTCCCACCTTGGGCGCCGTCATCACTGTTGGGGCGGCCAGGAGTTGCTTCAGCTCTTCAAACGCTGCATCACACTCTGCAGTCCATTGAAAACGTACTGCCTTTTTGAGCGTTCGGAAGAAAGGGGCGGCCTTGTACGCAGATCGGGGAATGAATCGTCCCAGGGCCGCTAACCTTCCTGCCAAGCCCTGCACTTCTTTGGGCGCCTTTGGCGGGGCCAATTGAAGGACGGCGTCCACCTGTTTCGGGTTGGCCTCGATGCCCCGCTTGGTGATCATGAATCCCAGGAACTTGCCCGCTTCGGCGCCGAATACGCACTTCAACGGGTTGAGGCGGAGCCTGTGCGCCCGCATAGCTTGAAACGTCTCCCGCAAGTCCTCCAGGTGGTCTTCGCGCCTTCGACTTTTGACTATTAAGTCGTCCACATAGGCTTCCACATTTCGACCAATTTGCTTACGGAAGACGCTGTTGACCATCCTCTGATACGTGGCGCCTGCGTTTTTGAGCCCAAATGCCATGACCCGATAGCAAAAGTTTCCGAAGGGCGTCATGAAGGCTGTCTTGGGCCTGTCTTCTTCCGCCATCGGGATTTGGTGGTACCCCGAGAACATGTCCACAAAACTCAGCATCTCATGATATGCCGTGGAATCCACCAGTTGGTCTATTCGAGGCATCGGATAGGCGTCCGTTGGACACGCCCTGTTGAGGCTCGTGTAATCTACACACATTCTCCAATCCCCAGATGGCTTCGGCACGAAGACCACGTTCGACAGCCAAGTAACATAGGAGGTTTCTTCGACCAAGTTGGCGCCCATGAGCTTATCCACCTCGATCCTGAGCGCCGCCTCCTTTTCTGCCGATAGGTTTCTCCGTTTCTGTTGTACGGGGCGTTTACCTTCTTCGACCGCCAGTCGATGTACAGCCGTTTCAAGGGAGACGCCCGGCATTTCTAACGCACTCCAGGCGAAAAGTTCCGCAAATTCCCTTAGAAGGGCGACGATGCGCTCTTTCATTTCGTCAGGCACCTCGGCCGATATTCTCACTTGTCTCTCTGGGCGCCCCTCATCTAGTGCTACCATAAGTTCTTTGTCGGCCGCCTCGGCTCGAGGCGCCTCTTCTGCTGCAACTTCCATCACGTTAACTGCCTCCGAACATCTCCGCTTTCGTCCCGTTTCTTTCGAGGCACCCCGCCCCCGGGCTACGCCTACACCTTGTGGCGCGATGAATTTCAAAGTTTGGTGGC